TATCCTGTCTCATGTAATCGCTCAATCAGTGTTTCAGCCGCGCAACGATGTCAATATAACGGCTTGTAAACAATGTCACGTAACGTCACATTTACCTCAGAAAAAAACATATTCGGTAACCATAAACTCATTAATCAGCTAGAAAAATAAACCGTAAAGAGGGGCATTTCGCTAAATGTATGCACCATATAACACACCCATTATAATTTTTACTGTTCTTCAATGTTTAATTTGTTTGAATAAATCCATCAAGTTTCTATGACAGCCACAATTTAAATGTTTATATAAAAAAAAAAATGAAGTAGAAATATTATGTAATTGTAACTATTATTTTAAAAACTAAAAAAATATATATATATTTTAAAAACTACAAATCAGTCTATTTTACCCTTAAATATTATAGTAATGTAGTACCAACTGACTCTCATGTATATTTTAAAACATTAGTTGAGAGCTTTTTTTTCCTTGAAAATTTGGCATGTACTGTACCTGATATGTATCCAGAATAATCGATATTGAATCGAATCGAATCTCAAGCTTGTGAATGAGAATCGAATCAAATTGTGAAATTTGTGTCAAAACCCAGCCCTAGTTTCAAATATATGTTTGCTACAATTTTTTCCTTGAAAAGAAAAGAAAATTTAACAAAAATTGTGCTATCACCCCATTTCTTACAGGTTGCTATATCATCTTTAAGTATAGTTTGCAGTAAGTTTTCAAAAATATTTTGGGGGAAATGCCACAGTGAAGCAGTGATGCCATTTTATTATAAAGGAAATGGTTATTAGTCTAATTTCTTGAATTAGCAAATTAGAGAACCATCTGATTGATTCCTACATACAGAATTTTTGCACTGTGAACTATAAACCACAAGATATCTCAAACTCTTTTGAATTTTTATTTCAAGTTTGAATATTTCCATGGCACCAGTTACAAGGGACTATCAGTGAAACATTTTCTTTATACCATTTTCATGGAAGGTTTCCTACAGTACAAAGATGATTTTGGAATGAATCTGACTTAACAGGAACTGCATTTGGCACATCAATTTTGTATATAGTTCAATATTCATATATTAAGGAACTAAACAGCAACCTTCAGTCCCAAATAGAAAAGATGCAGATTACAGAAAAATACGCCCACAGACAGACATCTATGCATAAACAAATGTGCATGTGTATGCATGTCTGTCGAGGGAACTGTGGGGGCTGGCAAAGTGACAAAAGCACAGTACAGTAAATGAAACGTGTTGCCAACACTGATCTTTACAGGATCTCCGCGCCATAGTGAATCTTAAAGCTACGGTTCAGGTGAAGTCCGATTTTACCAAATAATTTGGGAATTTGTATGCAAGCATGTAAGGAGCAGTTCATTCTAATGATGATGAAATTTAAAGTCCCTGGTAGAATATTTATCAGAACTTCAAGTCGATCTGAGACGTCACGCAGCTGCTGTCTAATGCGAGTGGTTCATTGAATTACCTCAAGGAATCTCTTATAAACATGGAGGACATCCTGACCTTACTTGGAATGCGGTCCAAATCTCTAAAGATCAGCAGCCATTTAATACGATTTCACAACAGAATCTAACAGCTGTAGCCCCCAATACCAGATCTTGAACATTAAAATCACCATCTTTAATAGTTTAGCTTGAAGCTGTAACATTTTGTTCATGCGGTCAAGGTATATTTGAAGCCAGTGAAGTGCTTTATCTGCAGTGTACAGTAATACTCCTGAAAGTCTACTTTTTATAGTGCCATGGCAAGTGTTCAACTTCCATTATACTGACACTTGTATACTAAGAAGCATAAAAATACTTCTGTACAAAGTTCACAGAGGGACCTTGTGAAATAACCCAGTTAGATAATTACAGAAATGATCCAATTTAGCTGACAATTGTCCTTTACAGGACCCTTGCATTCATCACAGTCAAACCTGGCCATTCCGTACAGTACAAGAAAACTGTCTAGAGACAAAAGTATGAAGTAGAAGCGCACAAGGACAGTAGTAGCAATTGCCCTTGATCTACTAGTCTAGGAAGCAGCGCACCAGTTGAAACTTGGGCAATAGGATTTCAAGGATGAAGAGAAGGTGTAAAACTTCAGAACAACAGGACACTGACAGTTCAGAATCCAAACAAGATAAGTGCTCACAATGAGTATAAAATGTAGCAAATTTTGGCAATAATCATCATATAAAATGAGCCTTTTAGTTAAAATGCAATTTTATGTCCAACTTCCAAACTCCTTAGAAAACATCAGGTAGTCTGACTTGCTACACAACAACACAAAAACCATCAAAATGAGTCATCCGCATGATTCTATAATTCAGGTTATTGCTTATAAAATGAGCCTTTTAGTTAAAATGCAATTTTGCGTCTAACTTAAAAGGAAATGGATTCATTCCGAACTCGTTAGAAAACATCAGGTAGTCTGACTTGCTACACAACAGCACAAAAACCATCAAAAGGATTAATCTGTATGATTCTATAATTCAGGTTATTGCTTATTGAATGGCGCTGCCATGCAGGACTGACCGCTGAGGCTACATAATGCTGTCAATGAGTAAAATTCGATCCACTTCAATTATTATTTTTCAAAACCTTAACTGGTCTTACAAGCTTTTTTTTTTTCTCCGCTCAAAATCCATTTATATTCTGAATCAAACCCCATCATCAATGGCATGCAAGTACTCATCAGAGCAACACCGTTGTATTATTGTACTGTGAAAACAACTGTTTGATCAGATTCTACAAAAATATGGACTTATGCCACCACAACGCTGTTATAATTTGGCACATCAGAGATGTTATAAATGCATGCATGAATACTTGTCAAGGTAAGAGACATGCATAACTCCAATGACCCTCTCTCTTTTCCATGTGTTTCAGCAGTTTCTGCTACGGTTTTCCATGCGCCTCATATTTGTCCATCGTAGCGAAAACCAGTTTCAGCTCCTGTGGTCAGTGGAAGACAGCAGTTCTACCAAATGGTTATAAAGGCATGTAACTTGACTGCACAATTCAGCTAGTAAAACCCATTACGGTTATCGTCAGCTGCTTCCTAAAACACATCTCAGCCGTCGTTTATTCACTAGCACCATAGTGATTCTGGCCTCAAACACAACAGCAGATTGTGATTGGTGGATTGAAGCATGTTCATTTAAAATAACTGTACTAGTAAAGCCAAGCTTGTGAGCTGCCACAAACTAATGCTAAAAGCTACAATTATTGTGAGTACCAGTGTAAGATCTAAAACATCCCCTAATTACCACTAGCTGTTACTTCTCTCAACCCTGGTCTCTTTTTCACTGTACACAAAAATAAGTCCGCTCCTTCTGCATTTTGCATTCACTTCCTCTATTTTTCGCTTTCTCAAATACAAAAGCAATTACATCAATAGCAGTTTCAAAGGGGCAGGCATAAAATAGATCATGTATGGTAAAATAAACCCCCTGTCCAACTTGCATGCCACTGGAAGAATCTTCTGTCTTCAAATAAATAATATAGACTAATCAGGACTTGGTGTACTAAAGACTAAACCTGGCCTTCTAGTACATATTGCCAAAAACATCAATTAATTAACATATGAGCATACACACACACAAACATACACACACAGTCTTTTGGCTAAACTGTATAAAGTCATCAGTATTGTTCGAATGCAGGGCCAATATACAAAGCACAGGGACGGTTTTCTCATTACTGGTTAAGTGACTGAATTGGAAATGGATTGTAGATCTGGATTAAAATCTTTCCCGTGTCTCCCTTGACAGAAACGCCATAGATTCTAGACCTCATCTGGAACACAGAGCTAAAAAAGGTATAATTTAATTTTCAATAACAAAATAACATTTCAGTTTCTGTTAAAATATACATGGAAAAACTGTCGATATATTAGGAAACTAACTATTTTTTGTACAAAAAGTACAGCATTGTTATTGTAATTAAGAATAAACATAGCATGGTATCCACAGAATACAAACTTAAAACCAAGGTCGATATGGAATAAAAAAAATTATTACTTTATACAATGGGATTTCTTTCTATTGAGAAATACTCAAAATGGAAAATTAAAAAAAAATTATTATAATAAAGCAAATACACATACTCGTGAAAAAAATGATGTACTTATTTCTTAAAAACCAAACCCTTACAGTATTGCACATCTACTGTAACTAGATTGGATCTATGGGTGCTATTTGCTTTTAAATCAGTCATGATAACTTTGAGATACTGACACTATTGGGTCACATGACAGAACACAATTTATACCAATTAATTTTTCTCTATCCATTAGAAAGAACCTTTTTAAAAAGAATTCTACTTCACAGCTTGCTACCGCGTAAACACAATAATATTCCTAAAATGTATCTGACACCCTAAAACTCAAGCCACCAAATATAGAACTCAAATGTACCCATCAATTTTATTCAAATAACATCATTTCCAGTCTTTCCTCAGCTCTCGCTTCCAAAATAACTTGCACATTCTTACCTTACATATAACCCTCTGCTGATCTGATCGTTGATGTGGTAAATTATAGCAGCCTTCAGAATTTACTAAGAGTTACATGACGGATGGATATGAATTATGCATAAACTCAGAAAAGCATTGGTTTTCAACTTTCTCGTGCTTTCCATCCCACTCTACCGTACCAACTTGACTTAATGCACCACATTCTTTAATAAGACTTTAATAATTATTATTTTAAAATAAATATAAATGACGGCAACATTCTCGTTGCAACAAAATATTTCATATTCCCTATTTAAGGAATGATATATTCTTCTCAAGTCTTTGAATTAAGTTTTGTTTTTTTTTTCTCTTTTTTTTTGTAAAAATAAAATACCTGAAATGACCTGAAATCCAAAATAAGGAAACCAAAAAAAAAGAAGAAAAAAATTGTCTTTGGAAAATAAAAATAAAAAAGACAACAAAAATAAAGGTGTAAAAATGGACGGGGGAGAAAAAACTAAAAGTGGAAGAGAAGAGGAGCTGTGGGCCTGGTGGTCCACCGTGTGTCAGCAAGAGTGTCATGAAAGAAGCTGGGTTCATGGGACAGGTCGATGCCCTCCGTCTCTCTCTCTCTCTCTCCACGTGTTTAGCGTCTTCTCGACCCCAACAAGGGAGGCTTTACGAGCTTTAGTGCCTCATTTTCACTTGTTAATGAGCAGTCCGCCCGCCCAGCGGAGCTTGCAGGCAAACCACCGTCTGAGGGGACAAAAGTATTCGTAATGGAACTGCTCAAACTCGGGGGTCTGGCGGATATCACGTAAAAATGCAATGTCAAGGTCGGACTCAGTGAGGATGATGAGGAGGAGGAGCAAGACAAAGAGGAGTCCAATGGTCACAAGGAGCAGACGGAGTACACTTAAAACAAACTTATTCACCTGTTCCGTCTCGCTGAGCGCGCCTGCGCTCTGCACGGGGCCCACCGCCCTACTGTCCGCTCCTAACTCGGCCATGTCGCCCACGGTGGGCGTGGCCGCCTCAGACTCTTTCTCCTCCTCGATGCTGCAGGGGGCGCCGTTGATCTGGCGTGAGACTGCCATCTCCAGGCTGTGCTCGGCCACTGGTGTGGGCAGCACGCTGTCGGAGGGACTGTAGGTCTCATCGGAGATGACTGCCGTCCCATCGCCGGAGTCCGTCGCCTGGCTCCGCGAACGTGGGATGAAGGAGTCGCCGTGGGACATGGAGCGCACGGGAGTGGAGTGGGCGCTGTCCCGCAAGGATTCCAGACCTGGATGGATGGAAGAGGAAGGATAAGAGAGAGACAAAAAGACAATGTAATGAATAATAAGATTATAAAACATTTTACTCTTTGCTTAAGTTAAATCAAGGCTGGCTTTTCTAGGTTACCATTGTGTCTAATGGCAAGTTCACACTGCACTATTTTAGCCCTGATTTTCACTCACCGACATGTTTTGCGAAATCGCAAACAAATGCCCAAATTCGGAGGCAAATCGGTGCTCGTTCACGCGAGTGACAATCATGCAGTGTGAATTATCAAAGACGTGATCTGAGAGAATCCTTCATTCATTCAAAATCCTGCTGTGTGAAATGAGTTCTGACTGACCTGCAGCCAATGAGAGAGCAAGATACAGAGCTGCGGGAGGAGTTATAGACCACAATATCAACAATCCTTGCTCCCCAACTATTTCCTCCTCCATAATCTTTTTTCTTTTTTGCCCTTTCGCTATAAATCAGCGCACAGACCATTTGTATCGCAAACTTTTTACGGGCTACCATTTTAATAACAGATAGTCATGCAGTGTGAAAACGGTGATTCGACAACTTTGAAAATCGTTCAGTGTGAACTCAGCATAAGTTTGTCTTTAAAATGTCAATAGCTTTGATACCATAACTTGACCAGTACTGTAATATGTGATGTCCCTATTCAAAATAAAATGTCTCTTAAAGGGGACATCGGATGCAAAATTCACTTTTACATGGTTTGCATATAAATGTGTCTTAGCAGTGTGTTACAATGAAAAAATCCATTCACTCCATTTTTTTGATCCCCAAAAAACCTAAAGTCTCAATTGTCAAGCCTTTTTGATTTTCTGAACAGTATGACATCACACTGCTCAGGCTCCGCCCATGGCCACTGATGGACTGTCCCGTATTAGCATATTTCCGCCCTCAGCCAGTTGTATGCCGTCCGCCATTTTCTCTGTGCTCGAGCAGCTGTAGCAACAACGTCTCGTAAGCAATTGCGGGTGTTTTTGTAGTTGGATATAAAAGTTAACATGAAAAGTCTTCATTTTCTCCCGACATGAGAGCGACTGAGGACGCAGTGGATTGGTTTAGTTTTTGATGGAAATGCACCACCAAATACACAAAAAAACAGAAGAGAGGGGTGGGGTGAGCAGTAGCTCACTATCATTTAAAGAGACATTAACTGAAACGGCTCGCTGTGAACCGAGCCGTTTTTGACGAGATAAAAAGGGTGTTGTTTTACAGTACATGACCATTGAGGAATTTTAACCAAAGTATTTTGCAGACATTTCATGAAGGCCCTAAAGAATCATACCGTGCGATGTCCCCTTTAATATAGAAGGTCCAGACAAAATTCATAGGCTACCTAGTATGCGAAAAGCAGTACATCAAATGAGTAGTCCAAACATGCAACAATTACAAAATATTACACTATAATGTGAAAAATGAGAACAAATTTCCTATTTGGCCTAGCCACTATCTAGTTTAGACACTCTAGAACTTTGGTTTTTCATTTTTGCATTATCTGAGTGAAATTTAAGCGGAACCTCCAACTGGTGTGACGTCATTTTGAACAATCAGGTTTGTTTCAAGAATCCTAAACAGTTTGCCGAAGCTGGAAAAGTTCGCTCCTAAGAACTACCATTGATCCATGGTGATTGTGTTTGTGTTAGGTAGGTGTGCTCTGGTGCGCCGCCTTTGATGTGGAAATCTTCTCTGGTTCATTTCCTCCATTCAGTCCGTCGAGGTCAGACATCCACGAGTAAAACTGCGATACTGCAAAGCTGATTGCTTTAAAGCAGTCTATTGTATAAAGCGCTAAATAAATATGACGTGACTTGACTGTCTTCTCACCACTGCCATTCTTGGTGTTTGTTTTGCTATTTACATATTCATCTAAATGCTGCTCTCAGCAGGAGGGGCAGCGTTTGACCTTTCCTTGACAGGTGACCGCGTGATTGAGTTGACCAAATGGCAGATCTTTTCTGTATTCTGACGTATATTTGGGTGCAAAGAATTTTTGAAAAAGAAAAAATGTAGGGCAGAAACTTGATTATATGCATCGGGTTGTTGATATGATTTTGAAACGTGAGTGTTGCACTCAAAAATGGATGCAGATAAACAAAATATCAGCCATTAGCACTTACTTTTTCAGTTTTTCTTGTCAAAACTATGTAAGAACATCCAGTCAATCGTGTCCATTCTTAGCATCTTATTCCGGCCTCAAAGGGCTCATTCCATGCAACCTGACAAGTAGCAATCGCAAAGCACAGAAAAAACGACAAGGTGTGCACTGTGCTCGAGGGACAATATTACAAGGGTCTCAAGAAGGTGACAGACCCAAATACTGAATCACAGGCCTGGAGTTCAGTAATGTGCTCGGAGCAAAGCAGACCTGAGTGCTAATGTGAAAAGACATTTCCCAGCTTGTTTGCTCTGATAGACACTGTACTTCAAGCCCCCACAGGCCTGGGAATCACACGTATTGACAGGCAAACAGCCAACTTGCTGAGGTGTCGTAACAATTAGCAGCACATGGTCAATCCAAAGGACTAGACCTCACTATACAACATGCACATGTATATATAGCACACAATCTTAAATAGCTACTAACTTAGAAAGGCTTTAAATAGGTTTTGTGATACCAGTCTATTATAATGCAGTACAGAAGTTACATGATATACAGAATCCATCTGAGAGGGGATGTATATTTCTGTTCTTAAACAACTTTAACACCATGATGTTAAGAGGATTTGTCACAGTAAGTGACCACATAGGCCACAAAGTGAGGATGCAGCAAATCTCCCATAAATCCTTGTGCTTCAGTTCTCGCATACCCTTTTCCTCAAGGAACCCCAAGTAGAGAAGCATACGAGTTTTGCTGAGCATTAGATTCTTGAGCGTGTCATTGCAGATATGTTACATCTCTATTCTGATGTGAAGGGATTAGGATTTCATCTTTTGACGATGTGACATTTTACTGCTCAACCAAAGGCCTCTCATTCACACTATTAAACATCCTGCCAAAGAGAAAAATGGTCACACATGAAAGCACATCTGCTTTAGTGCATAAAGCTGAATTCGGCTCTCATTTATCTGAGTTTAAAGAACCCTGGAATTAAACAGCTCCGGGTTTACTTGAAATATGAGCATACGGTTATAAGAAAAAGCTTGCGAAGCCTTTGTATTTACCTGTACTTCTGCATTAATAATTCATAAAAATGTGCACTGCTCTCCTTAAACGCTGTTTAAACATTTACAGACCAGACAGTAAAATGTGAACCTTGAAATGTGAACATTGACTGTTAAAGCTTCTTTAGCAGTAATAGCTTCTATCTATTAGTACTGTAGTTTGGAAATCCCTTTAAAATTGTTTAACTATTTGAACTGTTTCTTTAAATTTTCAGTTCATATATCTGGGGTTCTTTGTGTTAAACGCTCTCTTCAGCTCATGTCGCTATAGTGCATCCATAGAATTGATGTCTGGACTGAGAGCACAATTTCTTCTGTGAAAGCAGTTCCAATAGTGAATTACTTCTTGTATCTACGTCTTCTTGTATCACCGAGCTTCAGGTGATGAACGGCTACCCTGATATTATCATCCTCCTCTCACCATACTTCACAGCTGGAATCAGGTTTTAGTTTCAGGCTGCAGTCCTTCAAACATTATGCTGCGCATTTCTGCAACTCCTGCAGTTCTTTTTTCAGCTGCATTTCACTGTCGTGATGTTTGCAGGATGGCAACTCCTTGAAAGATCAGTAACAGCACTGTATGTCTTACACTTGCAGATTGTGGATTAATGAATACCCAGGAATCAGTGGTGTTCTGAAATTGGGAGGCAAAGTCATCAGTTTTTTTTTTTTATCAAATGTAAATTCATGTCCCAATTACATTTTCTTGGTTAAACAAACATTACTTACGCTATCAGAAGAATAAAAAACAATTCTATTTTATATTTTTACATTAACAATGTAATCCATATTCTATTTTTTAAAGCCAAAAGTTAGCATTTTGCATTTATTCCAAAATAAGTCAAGGCAGTAACAATTTAAATTAAAGCTGCAAGCAGCATTGAAAGGGCCCTCGCACACAGGCTTATCGCTTTAAGGATTGGCTTTAGGAAAACAACGAACTGTGGGCAATATGCATTTAAAGTGGTAAATATAGAAGGAATATGTCAAAGTCATTTATTTGTGCTAAACTTCCTGCTGCCAGCTGGTGGCGCTATGACTATAACTGAATATTGGCATGTAGAGGTCTTCAAGCCACGACTTTGATCAAACATATGAAGTTTGGTGCAGATTGAACATGGTATGTTTGAGTTAGCGTAAAACATGACATATCCTGTTGCCAACAGGTGGCGCTATGATTATAACTGTATATTGGCCTTTAGATGTGTTTAGGCCAGGGCTCTTATTGAACTTGTGAAGTTTGGGGCAGATCGGACATTGTATGCCTGAATTATAACAACTTCCTCTTTCATAAGCGAAACATTGAAATTTGTCAGACCGCCACAGACATGCCCTTGAACGAAAACTCAAGATCTTCGCAATTTAACATCACAAAGGGCTTTAGATTAGACTTACCAAATTTGGTGTTGATCTGTTTAAATCTCTAGGAGGAGTTTGTTAAAGTACAAGGCCTGAAAATTGCAAAAACGGCACAAAACTTGCTGAGAAAATTCAAAATAACAGACCTCCTGTTGGGTTTCAGGCTTCGTACCAGGGGACTTTTTTGTAGGTGTTGGTGTGTTGCATGTGTCTACTGAATTTTGTACATGTATGTGAAACATAGTTTATGGGGCCCTTCGTTGAAATTTTATAGGTGGCGCTATTGGGGCAATTCCAATAGATTGATTTGTGAACTTATGTTCAGCTATTCTTTTTAATAGTTAACTTTTAACTACTTTTGAATTTTTCGGATCATCAGTCAAAAAATGGTCACAGACATGGAACACCATTACAGTATAGTGTTCGCTCAGGCTGATTCGCGAACGTGGAATGCGCACAAACACAAGAGGTGAGATTTATCGCATGAACCAATCACAGCCGATCATAACCCGTCATTACCAATCATATCGCAATGGAGGCATTACCTCCTCTCATGTGACTTTCCCCCATTCATTCTCAGTTACCCCCCACCAAATCACGGCACGCTTTAGGGGGTCTATTAAAACTCAATGGGCTCAGGGGAAGTGAGACACGGACTCCCGTTTTGGGCAGTGTTTCTTTAGAAAAACAAGTAATTTATACACTTTTTAATGTTATATTTTGTAATATTTGCGTTATTTTATTTTTGTACTACAATGTTTTTTCTCATCTAATATTTTGAGGAGGCACTGCCTCCCTTCCCAAGAATGCTTCTACAGCTTTCAAGCTTCTAACATGCACTATTAATTATGATCAGGACATATGAAGAACCTTTTATTGATTCTGCCAATAACCAAACGTTTCTTAGTGAGGTAGAGTATCTTCAATCCACACATCTCATTGATCGACTCCAATTGCTCTTTAAAGAAAACATTAGCCTGTAGGTTCACAATCCAAACAAGACTATGATTGTGTTTGTCTGCATTGTTATGTATAGATAATGCATATAATTCCAATGGTAATTCCAACTTCTCTTTGCAACTGCAGTATCATATAAAAGTTACCCAAATACTTAAAATAAAATATACAGTATTGTTCAAACGTTTGGGGGTGGTAAGATGTTTTAATGTTTTTGAATGAAAATATGCTCAACAATGCTGCATGTATTTGATCAAATATACAGTAAACAGTAATATTGTGAAATACATTATTACAGTTTAAAATAACTTTTCTATTTTAATATATTTCAAAATGCAAAGCTGTCTTCAGTATCACATCTTCAAAAATCATTCTAACATGCTGATTTAGTACTCGTGAAACATGTCTTATCACTGTTGAAGACACTTTTGCTACTTAGTATTTTATATAATTTACTTTTATGTACAGAAAGCTCAAACGTCTTCACTGTCACTTTTGATCAGTTTAATGCAACCTTGCTCAATAAAAGTATCAATTTCTTTAAAAAGAAAAATAAAATCTTACTGACCCGAAACGTTTGAGCAGCAATGTATGTTCTTTAGAATTAAAGCACTTCACACCTCAAAGAGCTTTTATAACTGACAACAAACACCATCACAGCAACACCAACAGAAATTCCATTACCTGTCTCTTTCTATTCTAACCCACCTAATCCGATTTCATCAAAACAGCAGAAATAAAATACATCTTACTGAAAAAGACCTTCAGTAAAACCTAATAATACAAAAATCAATCTGGTGCACAAGCAAACACACGAGACTTTACCTAAAGCTGTGGTGGGCACTGCATAAGATGGTGAAGTTATGGGCAAAGGAGATGCCCGCAGCTGGTCCTGCTGCCCCGTGAGGGCTGGGTAAAGGGGCAGCACGCCCAGGGCCTTTCCCAGCATACGAGGCCCCAAACTCAGCACCCGAACCTTTACATCCCGATAGCAGTGGTTGATCATGCGCAGGTGGACGTTCACCCGGGTGGTGATGCGGATTAGGCACTTCACCATGTTTATCTCCGAAAAGCGAACGTCTGCAGCTGCCGGACTTCTTTAGCGGTTACCGGTGCCCTATTTCCACCGTGGGCTGCTGGGTAAAGGCTTGGCTGTGCTGGTAAACGGCAGAGTAGGCACCCAAGACGGCGGTGGCCAATCCTACCCCACCCAAGCCTCTCACCTCCTCCTCCCTTCTACAGCCAGTGACTTAAATGGCAAGAAAGGTCCTGTCTATTTTCAGAGGAGGGTATTAATACTCCTTGAAGACTCACAGTCAGCACATGCAGGATAGTTGAATTTATCCTCCCCAGCTCTCTGAGCCGATCGCACTACAGACAAGAGCTCTTCACAACATCTTAAGATGGTCTTTTCTGTGTTGAATCACAGAGAGGATACAGTGACCAGAGATTTAACTATGCTGTCTATGTAGAGTGTACTCTTCATGTTGAGAGGGCAGTGCTCTGTTGTGATGCTAGTCTAACAGTCAGGCTCATTAGATGAGACCCAGAATGAAGGGGTGGGCAGAGGACACCGTTAAGCCTTGGATGGGTGGGACAAGATGGCAGAGCTGGTGCCACAGGGAAGTGTTAGTACTGACTGTACACAGCTGGCACAGAAATAAGAGTGGTGTGACTGACAGGAGCATCTGCATCTCCACTCTTCTAAGTGACGGCCGGTTCAGCCTCATATTACTGCATGCGGTCAACTTGTGAACTTTGGTGAGGATGTGTGTGCGTAAAAAAAGAAAAAGAAAAATCTCTCTCTCTCTCTCATATCTCATATCAATTTATAAAAAAATATATAACTAACTATAAATACTTTTTTACTTAATATATTATACATTTTACATAAAATATACAGTGTGTGCATAATTATTATGCAAGCTTATATTCTGATCATATTTTTTCCCCAGCACATTTTACCAATTCCTCATGGGCATTTAATAATTTTTGACTTTTCAGTCTGAGGTTAATCTCTTTTTGGCTCATTTTATCTATAAAGAAAAGCTGCTTAATAATTATGCACACCTGAATATAAGGAGTTTTTCACTTCCAGCCTTCATAGACAATTAGATATCACTTATAAATGATTAAATACAAAATTATTAGTAGTAATTATGATTGGAAAAAAATATCAGAATATCAACTTAACAATAATAATTATGCATGCACTGTATACTTTTAAACACACACAAATACACAAAAGGCAAAAATGTATAATTCATTATTTTTAAATAAAAACAAATTGTAAATAGAGTGAAACTATTAATTTTTTAAAACTGAAATAAAACAAAAATAAATATTTTATTCAATATATTATAAATGCTACTACACAACAATACATGTACGCACGCACACACACACACACACACACACATACATACATATATGCATAGTAAAAATACATACTGGTTGCAACACAAATATCTAAAACATAAGCTACAAAAACATGCTAAAATATTCCCTACAATAACTTTCATTGACTTCTTGAGTGCCTTTATATTATATTGTCGTCTTGGCATAAATTGCCCTCTTTTTATAAATGATATGTTGCTGTATTATAAGTTGGCCGTTTTCTACAGCATTTTGATGATATTACAAACCATTCAGTGCTCTGCCTGTGGTTTCAGGGTTTCAGTGTAGAGATGAACTCAGGTTAATGGGTTGAACTGGACTCTCACCTTCCATGATGGATATGTGTACGGCTCTCCGGCGGGTCCGCGGGACACTGCTCAGCCGCGGCCCATGCGTGATGGATGGACAGCTTCTGCTGGGCACCAAGCCAGCCCTGTGACCACATACAAACGCAGTACTGTATCAACACACCCATTTATCACATTACAGTACGTCCTATGACTACAGACATCAGTCTTACTGGACATGCATGCATGCATATACAAAACAGACAAAACCAAAAGAATGTGACCCAGTGTGAACAATTATAAAGTTAACAGATCCACACTCATGCATACCTGTGTATTTCTGGAGGTTCCCGTTTAATTTTTGCACTCTGCTCCATTACCTCTTTGGCTACTCTTCCACTGAAATTAAACAAAAAACAACTGACGTGCCCAGTTCCCCCTGCTAGAGTGAAATATTTTGGCATAATTTGCCTTATCAAATTAAACCCATAGATATGTAACTAAAAAGATACACAAAGACCTCTTTAAGTGGACCAAAGTAAACCTTGTTCTTTATTTGCAACCAAAAACTAAAATTTATGTATTATATTATATTATATATCAGAAATATCTAAAATATATCTAAAACAAATATCTAAAATTTATATTATATCAAAAAAATATATCTTAAACATCTAAAATTCTCCTTGCATTTATACTGTAACCAAAAACGAAAATATTATATTATATCAGAAATATCTAAAATATATCTAAAACAAATATCTAAAATTCTCCTTGCATTTATACTGTAACCAAAAACTAATATTTATATAATATTATATTTTATTATATCAGAAATATCTAAAATATATCTAAAACAAGTATCTAAAATTCTCCTTGCATTCATACTGTAACCAAAAACTAAAATATATTATATTATATTATATCAGAAAAATCTAAAATATATTTAAAACAAATATATAAAATTCTCCTTGTATTTATAGTGTAACCAAAAACTAAAATATATTATATTATATTATATTTAGGGCTGTCAATTTAACGCGTTAACTTAATTAATTTGTTATGAAAAAATAACGCGATTAAAATATTTTTACACAGTTAACGCACTGGCCCCGCCCCCAGAACTGTACTTCATCTTACATTTCATACAGTTGACTGTTGACAAATATGATGCAGAGCAACAACTCCATAAATGCAGTTATGCCCTAAATTTCAAGATATTAGTGCAAAAAATGCCCGTATGTGTTTTTGTCTCATATTTATATCATATGATAGCAATATCACACGAGCAGCGAGAGCAATATCACACGAGTTTAAATGTGATTTTATACAACAGTTCAGTAAATAAGAAGTTGATATTGTGTTATATTTTAAACACAATATTATGTGTTTTTGCTCAATTTTGCAGAGAACCTTTAAAGTCACAGCAGAACTGTTGTGCGTCTCCGAGCAACATAGTTTAGTTCCTGAATGAATCCGCATTTTGAATGAATCGTGTGAATCAATGATTCAAAGACCCATTCATGTGAGAGCCGTTTACTTCATCCCTGAACGAATCACTCATAAAGACATTTACCGCCACCTGCTGGCAGATTTAGTTTCTTATTTAGAGTATAATTTCATAAAAATAATAATAAATAGCCTATATGAAACATAATAATAATAACATTAAAGGGATAGTTCGCCCAAAAAATTTAAATTATGTCATCATTTACTCACCCTCATGTCGTTTCAAACCTTTCTTTTGTGGAACATAAAAGAAGGTATTTTGAAGACTGTTGGTAACAAAGCTGTGTTGGTTACCAATGACTTTCATTATACGAACAAAAAATATACTGAGATGTTTCTCAAATCATCTTCTTTTATGTTCCATTGTTACGTTAGGCTGTTGTAGCCTAAATGTGTAATACATCTTATGTTTAACCAAATAAAATATTTCTTTCTAAAGCTACAATTTGTAATGTCTACTTGATACTTTCTCGTTTAACACAAAAACAGCTTTAAATAATCTTGTGTGGGTATTTTCACAGGCAAATTTAATTTGCAATTAATTAGATTAATTAATCAAAACATCATGTAATTAATTAGATTAAAATCGACTGTTTTTAATCGTATTTTAATCGACTGACAGCCCTAATTATATTATAAAATACCTGCACACTGTATATACAGCTGGTTGAGGCTGTTTTGACCAGCTTCATCTATCAATACCAACCAAAAGAAAACAGCTCAACCATTGAGGATAAAATAGCTACGCTTTCCAGCCACGTTCAAACCGCTGGCATTTTGGTGGGAATTGTGATCCCTGTGACTGTGAGGAATGGTGACCGCTGCTACTAGAGTCCATGAAGCTCAGGAATTAGATTAACCTTATTGAGTCCCCTCTCTTAACTCAATCTCTGCCTCTCAGTCTGTGACTGAACTACTTCTCTTGAAACAAAACCTCTTAAAATCCTGCCTGTCTCCTTACATAGAAGTGAGAAAATAACTGTTATCAATTTCCTAATGAGGTGTTTGAGCCTGAGAGCCCACTATAATAATTGATCGTGCTGTTTGTTTAATTGCCCCAATGGCTCCATTCATCTGTTACAATTGCAGTTATTAAGTAAACGTCTGTGTCTAAAAGGTGGCCTGTGTGAACAGCTCCATCCGCAGCAGGTTGTGGTGCATTGGCTCCAAAGCAGTCACCTCTATGTGACCGTGATGAGGACAGCAGGCTGTTTTTGGAGCAGGGACCCCCGAGGCTGTGGCGGTCCGTCGGCAGTGACCCGTGCTGTGTCTGTCTGTCTGTCCACACTTACCTGTAGCGGAAACGACTCCCCTTGAAGAACAGGTTACTGCTGGACACCGTACGAACCTGGCTCGACTTCTCCAGCCTGATGAGGGACAGAGAGGAATGATTAAGCTCTGAACATGCACAAAAAACACATTTACACATTTGTATGAAACTAGAAGTCAAATAAAAAGGATAACACAACTCAGTATTTCAAAACTACACAGTCTGAATTAAGAATAATTTATCTTTTAACTCTTTTAAGCACAAATATGACATTGCTGTTATCAAATATGTTCAAACTTTCTAAGATTCTTTAGTATTTTTTTTTTAAGATTCATTTTATAAATCTGTATTTAGAGTTCTATGCAGTGGTAGACGATACATACACAAACAGGTACTTGGCGTACAAGTACGGATACCCTAAAAAAAATCACTGGTAGAAGTATGCATAGCCCTTTACGATTTTAGTTGAGTAAAAATAACAAAAGTACTTGGTAATTAATGTACCTAAGTATTACAAGTAAAAAGTACTGGACCAATTCAACAGGCTTATTGAAAATAATCAGCTTGTTCACAAATCAGACACTGCTATTGCGTGGTGAAATTATGAATTAGATTAGATTTTAAAATGTAAAGTAAAAGTTTCCCAAAATAAAAACATAAAAAAAAAAAAAAAGATACTCAATACAGATACAGACAGAAAAATGTACTTAAGTACAGTAACTAAGTAAAAATGTGTCCACCACTGGTTATATGATGGCATAAACTAATCTGCAACTGTAGAAATTTGTGAAATACATATGTTTCTATACTTGGTTCTATACTATGGTAGAATATTACAGTATTTGCTATATTAGTTATTTATGTAAAAAAAATGTTGAAATTTTATTTACAAATGTTGTAAAATTAAATTAACATAAAATTTATTTGATGTGTGGAGACAGGTTTGTGTATATTAGCTACAATGTAAGACTTCAAATACCACTCATCCAATCATAATTCAGAATTTCTTTTAAATTTCCAGTATAAATTTTACAATCCTTGGTTTTTAACTCTAAACTGTTTTACATTAATCAATTGTTATAAATAATTGTATATTTTAGTTTGCATTCATAAACTTCCAAAATAAAATGACCTAAATGAGATTAACTACTTTAATTGTATTTAATTAATTTAATTCAGAAGTATTTTATACATTATTTAATTAAAATTATTTAAAAAGTATTTAATAAATAAATATCCAAAGTTCTGTCATGAAACTCTAGATGGCGCAGTACGATAGGTCTAACTCAATATGACATAATTATCACATGGCGCAGCTGATTGGTTCTTTATTTATCAGCAGCCAATGTGCTCGCTGCTCAACATTCAAATACTTGGCTAGTGCTTGCTGTAGCAGTTGCAGCATGTTTCAGAAAGCCTCCACCCTCCCCAGCTCCACCTGTATAGATCTGCTACGAGGCAACCCTCTACATTGCGAGTAAATCACTCGCATATGCAACTAAATCTTCACTCTGGCGACTAAATGATGTCTAATATTAGCCAATTGCTAATAAATTCTCAGATTTTACTCGCCAGTGTGTGAGTTGGAGGCTAAGTATAAGTTTTTCAATTGCCAAGGTGTTCGTAGAGGGCTGCGAGGTGATTCATGTATGCTACATATGGGGGTTATTTCATATATGTTATGTGCAGCAGCAGTATTTCTTACATGCTCACAGCAGCATGTCTGTGGCATGTACATTACCATGCTAAACCCTCCGAGAGTTGTCATGATAGAAATAAGTTTGTTGAACTCCAAGCAAAACAACATTATATCACATTACAGTTAAATAAAATTAACTATTTATTATAAGTCAGATTTTGTCATATCACCTAACCCACTGACATGCTCAAAATGTTTGGTTTCTAAAGCTAGTACATATTTTCTATCTAACCCTCCTAGTGACTGAAACCTCAGGCTGAGCTTGAGTGTTCTGACTCAGACGATCTCTGGTGAACATTTGTTTCAGGCTTTTCATCACCAGGTGTGGGATCTCCTTCCCCATAGACGGCCTTTATATGAATCATAAAACCCACTTTTCAATTATCATCTGCCTTCACCTGCCACAAATTCTCCTTCTCTATGGGACTTTAACTACAGCTACAAATTTCTCTTTGCCCCAGTGGAATGAATTCAGTCAGACTTGGAATACCATGTAGATTCAGTTTTGATAAGGCGCCTTGCCAAATCAATGATTACACCATTCCCTTCACCTAAATTGAGCTTTCCCACACTTCATGATGAGCGCTGAAACAGACTTTCGTTCCAAAGATGTCACCTCAGTCAGCCAAAATCGTTCATCATAAAACGGAGACAAAAACCAGCGGTGGCTCGCCATGTTATGAAACTGGGCTCTCCTTTTAGAAACCTGAAACACTGCAGTCTGCCTCGAGCTGCACGTTGCTTTAAACGCTTCCCATGGCGTGGCCAAGGACACGTACAATCAACCGTGACTGAAATGCGCACGGACATCCCTCCAGAGGAGCTAGCAGAACGCATCTCTCATTCCTCACGCGGTAAAGGTCATTCTCAACACGTGGCTGTTCCTTTAGATGACCCCCGCGAGGTAAAAACAGTGACAGCATCTAGACGTAGGTGTCCAGACACTTGCAGAAGTGTCTTGCATTATTAGTCAGCTTATTTACCAGTCTTAAATATCATGCTCTGGAGAGACTAAATGATAGTGTTTGCCATTAGGAAGAGCCAAAAAGGGACAAATTATTTCTGGAACTTTTTTATTGTGCAGTTGCCTTTCAGAAGCATCACACCTGTCTAACCAAACAAATATATTCATCTCGAAGGAAGGAGCAGTGCAAAAACTCACTTGTAGAAGGCTTGATTTTCAACACCGCATTTCCAAAGGTGCTTGCAGGCCTCTGGAGTTGGTGCAAAGTATGTCAAGATGATCTTTTTGTCCTGTGCATAACAATAAGTCATTAAAGGTGCACAAATGCGGCACTGTCGAAGAGAATTATTAAAGTTTCACACATTGTGTCATAATCATAAGGCAATTTGGTATATTGTAATTATCTTTGACTTCAATGTTGGCATATTTAGTTTTCTCACCTCCTTCTGATTTGCATATATATGGAATGTCTTTCCCTCAAACTTCAGTTTGGTCACCTCGTCCCTGTTCAAGTGGAAGAAGAATGCATATATTAAGATATTATAATGTATATAAATTTAGAATACACACACACAAATGTTATGTAAATATATGTAGTTTATAAACATGTAGTATTATGTATAATTGTATATAAATAAAGAAATAAATGATTAGCTATGTATAGAGACTACATGAATAATAAATGAAAATTATGTGATTTTTGTGATCATCATTGTCCATGTTGTTCTATCTATCTATCTATCTATCGATACAAATATGTTTTATATGTATTATTTGAGATATATATATATATTGTAAATAACACTTTATTACATAATAAAATACATATATATATATATATATATATATTGGATTATGTAATAAAGTGTTATTTACAATTTGGTATGTGTGTATGTGTATATATATATACAGTATATATACACTGTATGTATATATATATATATATATATTAGTGGTGTCAAAATTAGCGCGTTAACGCTTTTTCAGTTTAAAAATATTTAACGCAGGGGCGGGGCTAGGGTTGGCCACCCCACTCTCAACAGCTGTGTCTGTCACTTTTTCTCTTAACAAGAAGTGCATTTATTCATTCGCAAAATGACTGAGAACGGGAGACGTTTCAGACGCGTGCTCCACTTAATTTCAGCGCCAGGTGCGAGTCAAAACGGAAACGGTACTGTGCTCACAGCGCGTGCTCTTCAATTGCACGCACAAAGGCGCCGGCGCGCGCTGTAGCCTGTATCCTTTCATATCAAAGCATGAAATAAACTACTTGCATGCATGGGTCAGAAAAGGTAAAAAGAGTAGAGAGAAAATATTATGTGTGTCAGATCCGCATCACGTTCAGCAGCAGCAGCTCTTAAAGAAATAACAGCCAAAATAACCTAATAGCCAGCTGCTGTGATGTCTATTAATCAAAGGGCAAAGAAAAAACAGAACTTTTATAGCTTTAAGGATTCATCAATATTTAATTTAGAGTTTGATAACTTCAATTTCAATTTCTGTATATTTCTGCTGAAGGGCACAGGTAAATATGACATTTATTATAATGGGTTTATATGAAGATTGTTTTAAGTTCACTTAAATTAGAAGCTATTCTTTATGTTGTTTGTACATTAATTTGAAGATTGAATGTGAAATTATTGCAATATAAAAGTATATTTAAAAACGTTAATGTTAGGTGGGATAAATCGCGATTTCAGAAAAATGTGTGATTAATTAGTAAAAATTTTTTAATCGATTGACAGCACTAAATATATATATATATATATATATATATATGTATATATACACTCAATAATACATACATGCACAAATATATATACACACACACACACACACACAGAGAGAGAGAGACGATGATGTCAGTAGAAAATGACATAATTATCATGTATTATTCATGAAGTCTCATTACAAATGCATTCAAACAAATTAGTTGACAAAATGTTTACAAACTGAATTACATGAGCTCATTTTAATTAATTACAATGAACAAGCCATTGTGTCATGAAAAACTATAAATTGCCATATTCCATTTCACAAATAAACACATAGATTGCACAATTGCACTCTTTCTTCACTCTTTACACTCTTTACTTTAAGTGTGAATCATACATGCACTACAGATTGTCTCATTATTTAAGAATGACTCATTATTTTCAGCTTCACGATGCATGCGTGTATGCATGTCTGTGTTTACTCAGCCCCGAAGACGTCAACAGAAGTTCAGTAGGGAAAAGAGGCAAGTATTAGTCACTCACCACTTGAGGAAATGGACTCTTTTGTTCCCCTGAAGCACGACAAAACCGAACGGGGTGAAGGCGAGGAAAGCCGGGTTACCAGATACATCCTGTGATGAACAACAACAGAGGACCACATCACCTTCATTTCTCAACAAGCAGACACTGAGCAGGAAGACTCAATACAGCACAATATAGAAGTGATCATAACACCTTCATTTCTCAACAAGCAGACACTGAGCAGGAAGACTCAATACAGCACAATATAGAAGTGATCATAACACCTTCATTTCTCAACAAGCAGACACTGAGCAGGAAGACTCAATACAGCACAATATAGAAGTGATCATAACACCTTCATTTCTCAACAAGCAGACACTGAGCAGGAAGACTCAATACAGCACAATATAGAAGTGATCATAACAATCGAACATTCATACTTTTGTTTTCAGGGTTGCTTAATCTAATGTTCTGCAGCAAAATGGGCAGTTTTGGGCTTTTTTACTGTTGAGATTACTGGCAATAGACATTTCACAAACTGGAGACAAAAAAAAAAAAACCTCACTGTAGGGAGTACGTATCTTAGTACACTATTTTAATGGCCTTGTTTCAAGCTGCAATTTCCCCATTCATTTTCTATAAATCTGCAGAATATATACAAAGATGTAATGAAATCAACAACAGCGAAACATTTATCAGTGGTTTTATACATGACAATATATAAAACTACTGACTATAAATTCATGAACTTAAGTAAGTCTGTTGCTATAAGCATTCTTATCAAAAGTTTGCAGTGGTATGATTTTTAATGTTTCTGAAAGAAATCTCTAATGCTCAATAAGGCTCCATTTATTTCAACAAAGACAAAAAAAACTGAAATATTGCACTATATTATTACATTTTGAAATAACGGTTTCTGTTTTAATATATATTAAAATGTAATTTATTCCTGTGATGGCAAAGCTGAATTTTTAGCCTTCAAGATCACATCATCTTTCAGAAAATCATTCTAATATGCTGATTTGCTGCTCAAAGATTTCATTTCTTACTATCAGTGGTGAAAACAGTTGTGCTGCTTATGGACACTGTGATAACGAACAGCAAAAGAACAGCATTTATTTGAAATATAAATCCTTTGTAACATAATTATTGTCTTAATTGTCACTTTTGATCTCTCACCAGGAACTAAGTAATTAAACTTTTTTTTAATATGAAGTCATAAAATAACACTGACTTGTGGCTTCTAGAGACTTGCAGCCATCTAAATGGGAATCTTTTCTGTGTTTCCTGAACATTCTGACATTATAAAAGGGCACTTGGTTTATAAAACTTTGAGAAACTTTTACACAATACACAATAGCTTTTGGATGCAAGCAGTAAATGCATCAGATAGAGTCGTCTAACCTTGCACGGATGAGGATCCACGCCGTATGTTTCAAGCATTTCTGCTTTCTGCAGGAACTTCAGCTCAGCTGTTTCTGGAGTTTGACCTCTGCAAAACAACACATGAAAACACCATCTGTGTCATTCAGTGGTGGAACAACCAGAGCAACAGCACAGCAGAGTCACCGAATTACATTTCAGAACTGATACACTGGTGCCATCGGTATTGGACTGAATCCACATTCCAGTGGTTTTGTAGTCAACATATCCTGCAAAGTGGAAAATTGCTATAAATTAAAAAAAAAAAAAAGCCATCTGAAACATAATGCTAATTTGAATATGAACAAATGCATCTATTTTGACACTTTACACTTGAAGACACTGATTAGCGGCCACTAAATAAAAAAGCAAAACCAAACCAACCAGACGGTTCAAGTATCATCACTCCAGGAAACCTCTTACCAATTCATATTTTACTCAGCACTGTCCATTTAACATTCAAGACCTTAAAGGCAGAGTAAGCGATTTTTCAAAAACACTTTAGAAAACTGATTCGGGCCGAATCGCAAAACAAACTTGTAGCCAATCAGCAATAAGGGGCATGTCTACTCGTGATGTGGAGGAGAGCGCGTTCAGTGCATGGGACGGACATTAGCCGAGCCGAGCGACAAAAAGATAGAGATGGCGGATAAAAAACAAAAGAGGAAAACATCTGCGGAACGATAAGGCAAGAAGTAGGACCCGTGTAAATATCGGATCAGCTTTCCAGCGCTGGAGAGAACTCAAGGAGCGGAGGCCTGCGATCGGACGCCGAGGTTGCTTTTGTTTCTTCTCAATAGGTGAGTAACACAGTGTCTACAACAGCTAAAGTCTGCCTACACTGGACGCGATCAAACGACCGTTGAAAACCATTTGAAATTTGTGTCAGCACATCATAAATAGAACCCGGCAGCAGTTTTCTGTCGGGATTTGTTGCGCCGCGCCGCTCACGTCCGTAGACACGGTGTAACATTGGTTTTGCTTTGTTTCACAGAACTAATCGTTGCCTGGGTTGCGTACGTATATGTGGGGCGGAGCTATCAAAATAGGGGCAAGACCCTTTTGGGGTAGGGGCGTGTTTGTTTTGGTGATTTCAAATATCAACATTGGCTACCAGAAATCACTTACTCTGCCTTTAATGTAACAAGACAGCCTGGCTCCTATTTCAATGCAAATCAAAGAAGAAAAGCGACAGTTAAGACTGATGGGCCGGCTCTGGTCATAGAACAGTCAGACCACAAGAGGGCAGCAGTAATCATGCTCCTGTTTGGTGGATCATCTAGTTTGGTGTGTCCATAAATTCCAAAGTGTAGATGTCACAACGCCTTATTTTCATGTGTCCATATAAGAATAGTCAACTGCTTCTCACTAAATCCATCACTATGACTATCAAGAAAATCATGATTGTTTGGCAGTTTACAGTTTATCCTTCGTTGGGATATTATAGTTGGACTTGCTCATGTAAACTTGGAAAGAAAGTACTGCTTGGTCAATGATGGCCTACGGATTTGTGGCATATTAAAAAGACATCAGATCTGACCAACAATAATGAGGGCCAAGACTTCACACTAATGACACATTGTGTGATCGAGTGTGTGAATGCATCTTTGTGAGAGAAATAAACAAAAAGATACAAAGATCATTTCAGCTCAAATGAGTGCACAAGGTCAACTAAACAAGTTTTTATGTCTAGTTAACTTGTACATACAGGCTAACAATGGGATGAAGGCATTAAAAACAAAATCTTGTGCAAAAAATCAAACTTTGTGGTAATTTTTTTTTTTAATAAGTTAAATATTTATGGTTAAATAAGGTTAAATATGTTGATTTCTACACGCAATACCCTTCAAAAGTTAGGGGTCAGTATTTTTTTTTTTAAATATCATGGTTTCCACAAAAACAAAGCAGAACGGCTTTTTTTTAACACTGATAATAATAAGAAATGTTTCTTGAGCAGCCAATCAGCATATTAGAATGATTTCTGAAGGATCATGTGACACTGAAGACTGGAGTAATGATTCTGAAAATTCAGCTTTGCCATCACAGTAATAAATTACTTTCTAAAATATATATTCAAATACAAAATTAGTTATTTTAAATTATAATAATATTTTAAAAATTTAACAGACCCCAAACTTTTGAATGGTAGAGTATCTTAATAAATTTTCAACATTTTAAGTTGTATAAATTAACAGTAATGTATTAAATATGAACATCAATTAATAATAAACAATAGCATGTTTATAAAAAAAATAACCTAGATTTAAAAAAAAAAGTTGTTCATTGTAGTTCATGACACCCAATGCCTTAACTAATGTTACCAAAAGTAACCTAAGTGTCACTGAAAACGTCAAATGTCAGAATAAAGACAAGAAAAAATGTTAAATGAAATAACTAAATTATTTATATTAGGACACACACACTAAGAAAATCTGATAGCAGATAACAGAAATGTACAGAAATAGACAAAAAGCAGAGAGAAGGGAATTCTTAAGAGACATTTCCGTAATTCCTGAGCCATACATCTAGAAAAAGGAGGGGAAAGGTTACACATACATTAACTCGGTCTTGTGAATCTCTGCAATCCTTCTTTCCAGCTTCTCCGAGTGCTTGGGGAAGAACTGGAACTTTGAGCTGTAGCCCTCTGGATGCTTTCCTGGGTCGTAGTCTCCAATCTCAGCTGCAAAGTAGTCATAAAAATCAATCTTTCATCATGCTACCATTCAGAGTCCAACCTCAGCAGTAAAGCAGACACATAAATCAATCTTTCATCACGCAACCGTGTTACGCAGATGCATTTTAGTTGACATGTGGGCATGTTAACGTGTTGTCTTAATGAACATCCTCTGTGAGAGGAAGTGTTGGGAGCCATATGTTCTCTTTGTAGGCAGGATGTGGGGTTTTGTGGATTAGCATACAAGTAATAGCATTTTCAATATGCCGTTTGCTTCTGCACTTGGTACCTATAAGTCCTGACCATTGCTCTGTGCTCTGAGTCTGAAGTGATGGAACAGTGCATCTTTAATTCAAAAGGGTTGTCCAAAACATGCCCCTGCCCAACCTGTCAAAGAACATTACTGTGCATCCTGCCCTCAGAGCCGCTATGTTCCCTTCTCATGTGACTGAATCTCTAACATCTCTGTAGACTCGAAGTTCATCCATTTATTTATTCTAGGTTTGAAAATAATGTTGGAACTTCAAGGACAAAAGTGTGCAAAATTAAACATCTATTTTTTTAAAGATTCAAAAAATTATATCAGAAATAAATTAATATTTTTAAATTATGCAATAATTAAAATTAAATTATAATTTTGTGTCCTTGTGTCCTTTGTTTTAAAATGTAATTTATTCCTGCTAACAAAACTGAATTTTCAGCTGCCTTTATTCCAGTCTTCAGTGTCACATGATCCTTCAGAAAACATCTAATATGTGACCTTGGACCACAAAACCAGTCTTAAGTGTCAATTTTTCAAAATTGAGATTTATACATCATCTGAAAGCTGAATAAATAAGCTTTCCATTGATGTATGGTTTGTTAGGATAGGGCAATATTTGGTCGAGATACAACTATTTGAATATCTGGAATCTGAGGGTGCAAAGAAAATCAAAATATTGAGAAAATCGCCTTTAAAGTCGTCCAAATTAAGTGCTTAGCAATGCATGTTACTAATCAAAAATTTAGTTTTGATATATTTACGGTAGGAAATTTACAAAATATCTTCATGGAACATGATCTTTACTTAATATCCTAATGATTTTTGGCATAGAAGAAAAATCTATAATTTTGACCCATACAATGTATTTTGGCTATTGCTACAAATATACCCTAGCGACTTAAGACTGGTTTTGTGGTCCAGGGTCACATATGCTGATTTGTGGCTCTACAAACGTTTCTTATTATAATCAATGTTGAAAACAGCTGGATTGCTTAATATTTCTGTGAAAACGATGATACATTTCTATTCATCAGGACTCCTTGAAGAATAGAAGTTGCATCCTTGTTGAATAAAATTATCCCAACCTTCTGAACGGTAGTCATCCCGCAGATTTTATATTAGATATTCTAGGGTCACAGTTCATTCTACGTTACCTTGTAAGATGTAAGCTGCCAACATGGCAGCGTCAGACGTTTTGCAGAGCAGACGACCGTGGTACAGATCTCTTTTGATCTGCAGGAAGACGAGATACCTGCAACCAGGAGAAAATACCTCATGCATTCCATTATCCTTCACATTTTTGTTGGACTATGTAAATAAAATGTTAAATGTTAAACTATTTGTCTGTAATGATGAGGGCTGATAATGACAGACACAGAGGTGCAATGTGAAATTTCCCAGTAGGAGAAAAAAATGTATGTGGATTCAACTCTCTCTCAAAACATGCTGAATATTTCTCTTTGATTTGGTTAAAATGAGCTCTCGGAATGAATTGAGAACAGGATTGTTGTTTTGGGAAGAGATGGCCTGAAGCAGACTGCTGTGTCAAAAGCTGTCAAGTTGGGGAAAAGAGAGACTTCGGCAGTCAAAAACACTGCAAAACCCAAACGTCTTTGTCCCTGGTCTCACAGCGGTATAATGTTATAAACACAGATGCTACTTTTTATAATTATGGATTTAGAGCTCATAGATTAGATTTTAATGGAATGGAAAGAGTAAATTCTACTGTTTGCTTTATGTGACGAAAAACTTCTTTTTGGCACTGTTACATAAAGACAAGAGCTTCCTCGTGCACCAGTGTCACATTTTCTATTCATAAATCAATCCAGTCCCAATCTGGTACTTGGCTCTTCTCACCTTCAGTGCAACAGATGTCCCATGAGTAAAGAGCGACATGCTTGTCTTTAACTTCTCAAAGTAGGCCAGCCCAGCTAGAGCTAATAGCTTTTCACTTAAGAGGCCATAGGAGCTAAAAATGCAATTATGTTCCCTGAATTCTCTCTAGGTGACAGCAGCTAAATGGCAATTTCTGTAGCCACCAGTCAATTTCTGGCCTACATATCGGCTTCTTTCTTTATCTGTAACCTGCCATTTATGGAAACACACTCTACGCGTCAGTGTCATTTGGTTCTGGAGAAGGACAGGCCAAATATAGGAACAGCTAAATGGCAAAGTATTGGGCTGAGATGCTTGTTTTTGCTCTGTGGAATATGCACTCTACTCAAGTTATTTTCCAATAATCCAACAATCACAGAAACTGGATACATATTACTAACACGAACATAATAATACTAAATCATCTCATTATAGGGAGATGTTATTATTAAGTGTAATTTTTATGCTTGTAAGTTTAAAATGTAAAGAAAAGGGTAAAACATGATATAAATTATATTAAATATCAGTACAGTACATAAAAAGTCTATATATTAAAAATAATATAAAATTAATTAATATTGTTAAAATTAAGGAAAAATTAGGAAAATATATATATTTTTAAATGTTTTGTAAGATTTAAATAAAGACTTCAAAAAGTTGAATATCATATAATTTCAGACAGGTTTATCTGTTGCTGCCTGAAATTCTTAAAGGTATTAATTACCAACAACTTTATTCTATAAGACTTCACTAAGACATATTTATGAAAATAAGTTTAACATGAACTTTTATGCAGTATGTTGAAAGATGTTGATATGTCAAAAATATAGCATTATATCATTAAAATATATCATTAGCCATCATTTAGATACAACATGACAACTTACAATGCATGATGTGATGTGCTGCTTTGCTATGTTGCAAAGATGCAGTTTGGGCATGAGTGACTTGTTTGCCATGGAAATTAAGCTAATGACAAATTTGTGCATGGTGTTGAGCAATAATCTCGTCTTAAAACCTGAGAATTTCCAAACACGGAAAAACTCAGCATGGATTTACTGTGGAATTATGAGTGGCAGAAGAAAGCGCGGAGAGACAGAATCACTTTTTTCTCTCACATTTCCCAACAGCTGCGACACCCTTGCTTGAGGTGGATACATTTCTTTCTCTTACAGGGACTATATGCTAATTCTTCCATTCACTCCAAATGATGTCCTTTTCTTTCAGATAATCCTTCTATTTCTCAGCCATACCCCTCATTAGTCTTTCTGCTCCTTCTGTCTACCTGCCTCTCTCTCATCTAATTTCCTGTCTTCAACTCTATGTTCATCCTCTTGTTTCACATCTCTTTTCAGCTTCTCCTCTCATTTCAGCGTGAGTTATTGCTTTGTGTTCCCCACAAGCATTTAATTTCACAGTACAGTAAACACTAGCATCTCCCCAACTCCACACATCAATCTATACCTGAGCACACTGCGAAGTGCCCATATGTCAAAGTATTTAATGTCTGCTACTTATATGCACAAACTGTCATTAATGCGGCCCCTCATTAGGTTATAAGAAGCACAGTATGCAAAGATCTCGTTTCAGGTCGAGTGTGTGAATTTCTGGGTGACCTCATTGCAGACTGATCGAGAGTGGATGAAAGAGGTGGAGAGAGACACTGTGATGCTGGCCAAGACTTTGCTTGCTAGAGGCTAATCATGTATCATTCAGAGGAATCTGTTAGGAGTCACTGACCATACATCTGTCCTTATCGGTGAGTGAGAAACAGCTTTGAATCTTGAGAGTAACAGCAAGATAAGAGTCATATAGGCACTTGTATATGTTTATAGTGTTTTAAAAGGGGTCATGAACTGAGAAATCAAAGAGGTCATTTTACTATAAAAAAGTATGTTTCAGACTTTCTCATTATTCTAAAAATAGCTTGTATTGAAGCCAATCTGCCAAAACGACAGCTTGTGAAATGTATAACTCTATGATGTAATAGTGTGGATAAGCACCGCCTCCAAAGAAGATGATCAACACCTGCTTCTACATCACTGCCTGTTTAGCTCCACCCACCGATTTGTGCATGTAGTGTAAATAACGAGAGAGGCAAACGAAGGTCTACGCTGAAACTAAACGATAAAGATGGCTCTTAAGACAACAAGATGCTGTACAGTGCCAAGTTGTGGTCTTTTGCATTGCCTTCCTTCTGATCCCAACATTAGGAAAGAGTGGATTAATTATTTTTATTGAAGAGTCAGACCATATCAGTAAAAACTTGGTCCTTTGTTCACTTCATTTAACCGTGGATTCGTTTACAAACAAGGCACAATTCGACGCAGGATTTTCAAAAAGATTGAAACTGAAAGACGATGCTGTGCCAACTATACTGGATCCGAAAGTTGAAAGTGAGTTTTTATTATGTGATCACTATTGCTTTGTCTGTTATTACAGATCATTTGTACTGATATGTCCACACATTTATGCGTTTTAACAGGAATCACAGCAGTGTCCATCTGTGAAGGATGTAGGCTGTCAAACATACACAACTGTTAGCCAATCATAGCAGTGGGCGTTTACTTCCGAATCTACAATCCGCCACGCCTATTCAAACAGAGCGCTTCAATGAGGGTCAAAACAGGACGAAAAATAGCCTATTACTTCTAAATTATGATGTTTTTTTATGTAAAATCTTGCTAACATTACAAGTGGACCTCAGACAACAAGCACTTAGTATGTTCTGACTAGTTGTTAGGATATCAGGACAAAACGACGATTTTCTGACAGGATCTGGTGTCTGGAGCTGGATCTAATATTTCTGGCTTAGAGACTAACAATCACAGAGCTTATTTTCTGCAATAATCCAAAAGCCAATGGAAAAATCCTTTTGGATTTTTGGGCAAGGTAATTAGTGTGACGTTAATTAATGGGTTGGCCAACAAAAGTACATCATCAATGCAGCACTCTATAGCAAACTGGCCATATTTGGGCAAAAAGAAGCCCAATGTTTTAAAGCCAGTATAAAGCAAAGTTGAATGGCTTTCTGGTGCTGCCAAACATCTGTTGTCGTTTGGTTTGTAATGCTTAATCAAAGCAGAGCTTTAGGCCTACGCTTAAAGGAATCCTATCCTTTTATGCGAGAAACTAAGGCAGCTCTGTAATCAAATGCCATTTAATCATGTGACTTAGGTACTGAATGCAAAAAGCAGAATCCTTTCATTGTGGCAGCTCATACCTGGTGATCTCCTCCTTTAGAGCAGCAGGATCTGGTGGGTAGAACTTTACCCGCAGACACATGGTGAATGGAGGTTGTGCTGTGTGGAGAAAATTAACATGGTTGAGAAACACTGCCTCAATCAGTAAACTTAATCTGATTTAGTACTTGCTGCCTTAATATAATACATATACACTGTGTACTGTAATGCCTTAATCAAAACATCTTTAAAAACAAGTTTACTTGAGAAGCAAGATTGCATCACACTTTACGCTGTTTTGCAATATACTTGTTTTCAGAGAATATATCCTGAATTAAGTTTATATTTCTTATCCCACTGACAATTTTTTTTCCTGGTGTTTAAACATAGATCTAACACAATTTTGAGATGTTTATAATTAAAATAGTTTTAAACATAGATTAACACAATATTGAGAGGTTCATAACTAAACTATCAGGAAACAATCCGCCAGTGGGATAAGAAAAAAAAGAAATTTAAGATATATTGCACTTTTTATACAGTAATTTGTAACTGTGTTTCAATACTATAATAAAATATTATTTTGGAGAATTAATACTAAAACTGAATTCTCAATGTTTATGCCTTATAGTTTCAATTGGACCCCAAAGTACAGATTATGCAGGTCAAACAATTATAAAATCTGCTGCTGCTAAATTTAACATTCAACAACTTTCAACAGATTACAGTTTCACATCTTCAGTCAGGAAATTAATGATTATTGAGTGCTTGTTTATAATGAAAGTAAACTTTCATTCCATTGTTTCACTATTTCTAAGGCTAAGAAATGTGTTTTGTTTTTTACTTTTAAGTAGCAAGTGCAATTAAATGTGGAAACCTTTTTTTTTTTGCTTTTTAAATTTTTCTGTACATTCTACAATTATGTGAAAACAAACCTTATCTTACGCAGTTTTGCTTCACAGGTAGATGTATCTTGCTTCAAGGATGGAAAAAACAATCCTTAAGAAAGTTGTTTTTGCAGTAGTTTGTTTGAGATCAGAACCATACAAAGTGAGTGTTGAGTAAAGGCCTGTTCATACCAAAGACAATAACTATAATCATAACTATAAAACTGTGTGTTGGTCTGGATGCTAATATAAAAGTTTAACACAAGGTTTCCAGACCCACTGCATGTCAGAACAACATCATCACTTCATCAGATGACAGCTCCTATTTGAGATTGCACCATTTCTAAATGTATAGTACCCATGAATCCCATTAGCATGCTTCATTACGGTCACCAAAGTGCTGTTGTTCGTAATTGCTCCATTATGGCAGCTAGCACACTATAAATAAGATCTGACTGATGATACTTACATTTCATCTGCTTAGAAATTGACTTGGTGAACTCCAGCCAGTGCTAAAACAACAGAGGAGAGAGTTTTATTTCCACACGCACAAACGTATACTGACAGAGCACATGTACACACATATTACATCTATATTTCATCTAACACATAATTACACAGGAGCAGGTGGTCAGTGTGGGTAGATGTACAGAGATTTTATATCAGTATGAGTGTGAGATGGGGGCAGGGGAGATATATTAATCATTTCATCTAATTTCTTTCTTCTCCGGAGCGAAAGATTAGCACATCTTCTACGTCATGCTGAGATTCTATCACTGCTATTGTGTGCAGCCTCAGATAAGCCAAATCAGCCAAACTGAGCCATTGGATTTGAGAAAAAGTATATTTGGGTCTTAGTGCCAGTAGGCTAATGTCTAGAAATAGCATCAGGCTAGATTCGATTTCAGATTATAGTGATCTGAAAGCTTTTTGGTCAAAATTTTTCCTGACATATTATCGTATTCTGGACTGTCAGCTAATCTGTGCCATATTTTGCCAACTAGGAATATACTAAAGGGAATTGTGGGCACTCAGTAGACGCTAAGGTTGTCCCAGTGTGTCGTCTACAGCATCAGTTAGATGCCCTCATTATTATTTATGTCACTCAATGCGAAAAGCTCCCAAACGGGGTCAGTCAAAAAGACAGGCATGAAGAAACTCTAGAGTATGTGGACGTAAAGCTTGTGCGCTGTCAGGTTTGCACTTAGTGAACACAGATCAGCACAGATCTGTAATTCTAGAGATAGACAGTGTTTCCTTACAGGAGCTATACAGAATGTTCATCTAGAATCTTTACATTTTTTTATATAATTTGAATCTTTTTTAATTAAAATTAAAAATATATATTTCACATTTACAAATATTAAAACATTTAATAATTTGTTAGCATAAAATGTATTTTTAACATCTGAAACAGTGTTGCTATCGTTAACTAAAGCTATAAAAAATTCATTAATTGAAATAAAGCTGAAATTAAATATTAGATTATATAGCTATTGATGAAATTAACAAATATTAGATGAAAAACATAAACCTACATTAGAAAAGTATAAATTAGAAATTTTAGAAAAGTACTAAAATTGCTATAACTAAAACTAAAATAAAAATATTAGGCTAAACAGAAATTCCAAGTATTTAAACATTTGATTTTTTTGTTAATATAAAATGTCTTGTTTAAACATTTGAAGCAGTGTTGTTATTGTTAACTAAAACAACTAAAATAATTTCTGTTCATCGAAATAAAGCTGAACTAAAATAGAATATTAGATAATACAAATATAAAATAAAATAAACAAATATTAGATTAAAAATTAAAGTAGAAATTAGAAATGTTGCTTTGGCAACTGATTGATGTAAAATAAGTTGAAGGTGAAGTACTAAAATAACTAAAACTGAAATAAAAATTATTTAAAGCTAAATAGAAATATTAAAATTGGTAAAAATGACAAAAGTGCATAAAAATAACGAAATAAATTTTAAATAAAAACTAAAAATAAGTTAATTCAAAATATTAATACAATAATAAAATATGTAAAACAATATATTTAAATACAGATGTTTAAGCTAGCCTTTTCACAAAAAATACAACCACTGTCTATATTAATACAGTATTTTGTGATCAGCAACAGTTTAGAAGCCTTAAAGGGTTAGTTCACCCAAAAATAAAAATTATGCTGTGTTTCACTCACCCCCGATGCATCCTAGGTGTATATGACTTTATGCTTCCGTTTACAACAGTGAGCGAAAGCTAGATTCAAGTGATCATTACGTTTTGAATATGGATATTTTTCTTACAAAAACGCATCGATTCGCTACAGGAGGCCTTTGTTCATCCCCCGGAGCCGTGTGAGACACTTTTTTTTGTGGAAGGGTGCTTTTTATTTCAGGTCTTTTGAACCGAAGGAATGCAACACCCGCTGAGTACAACGATAGAGCTTGAAAGATCAAAGACAATTTTTAATATAACTCCGACTGGATTCGTCTGAAAGAAGAAAGTCATATACACCTAGGATTCATCGGGGGTGAGTAAAACACAGCCTAATTTTCATTTTTGGCTGAACTAACCCTTTAAGAACAATTCTAGTACCTCTAACAGCATTTCTAAACTCAGATTCATTTGATATTTACATTTTGGAAGCAAAGTGGCAATTCTGTACGTTTACACATACTGATATATTGATTACATGCATGAAACATGCATGGCATTTTCTTACAGTATAGGGCCACTGGAAGGTTAGTCTGTTCCTCATATGTCTTCAGAAAACTTAGTTCATATTAACTTCACTGCACTGAAATTAACATGGAGAACATGCTCTCCCTTTGCTTATTGCAGATACATGTTTGTAAGAACATGACATAAATAATGAGAAATTTTTTATTTTTGTGCGAACTGGCCCTTTAAAGCAAAAACTATTAATCTGAGCCACATAATGGTCAGAGGGCCTGCCCTCAAATGATTTACAGTTTTCAAGCCTGTCCTTCTAGAAGGTTCATTCCATCAATCATCAGTTCTGTCTCTTTCAGTGACACTCCCTGATTACTCCAGAATGACCCTCGAATAGGGCTGCACGATAAATCGCATGCGATTTATCCGTTGTTCACTGACAAGCTGCGCAAAAAATTGCGCGATTATGAATGTGGTTTTGCGCAGCTTGTCAGTGAACAACGGCTCTGTGTAGTAAATGCTGCTCAATGTGAAAGCCCGCACGTGATGGAGATTTACCGCTGATTACAGAAGCGGCTTTACTGACAAGATGCGCATTAAATATCGCATGCGATTTATCGTGCAGCCCTACCTCGAAGGATCAATACAAACACAGACCACCCATAACACATGAATTCATCACTTATTAGGCATCATAATTCACAACCAATACGCTCTAAGAAATGAAAGGCACTTTGAGTATCCTGACAGATGCAGCTTTCTCCTAATAAAAAGGCTGTGGACATGAATGCTGAGATGATGAATTGGTGCTCTGCATTACCGTTGACCTTGGACTGTTTGATGCAAGCCACATGGTGGGACACTCACCCGTTGCTTATCCGGATCGACATATCTAATGCCAAAATAGTCCTTCTCCAGCAGGTTTAGATGGTGGCAGATGAGGTCGAACAAATACTGGCCTTTGGCATCCCTCTGAAAGACAAAGAGAAGAACAAATGATCAACAGGGCAGAAGTTTATTATTTTTCTGGGTACGTTGTTTATTTTTGGGCCAAAGAAAAATGTGGAAGAACTGAAGAAGAGCAGCCAAATAGAACTAAAATTTAGTGATCTGGGGCTGAGGAGGAAAGCATAGGATTTTAATTACTATTACTCTGATAACAATTTCTTTGACTCCTATGAAGAGATTCTGTATATCCAATATTAATGCAAAGAGAGTCCTGCGATTTCCATTTCTTTCTCATTACCTTTTCTAGTCATATTATAAGATTTTTTTTAAGTAATTCCAGAGACTGTTGGGATGTACTTCCATTTCTACTTGTGCCAGGTATCAAGTCGATATCAGTGTTTAGTGTACATGTCTCCAATAAAACAAACAGACTGATTTTATCAAGGTGACGTTCAGCATGTTTTACTCTACAAAAACCATCATCTAGCCAATTAAATATTTTAAAGCAGAGCAGAACTAAAAACATTTCAATTCCCTATAGATACGTCCATGAATTTTTAAATGTATCACTCATTTCGTTGACTTTTCCAAGCCTGGAAATCACACATGACTGTAGAAACCTGAGAGTATGTCCACATAAATGCACAAGAAGAAGAAACAGATGAGAAAGTCAATAGTTTAACAGTTTGTATGTGAGATCAAATGGTAGAGTCTCCATGTACAGTACTATTTCATCATTATTTTGTTACACTTAATAGGTCATTTGCAAAGGGACACACATTCTATACAATGTTCTTAGTTCTTTCATAGTCCCACTGTACAAGTCTAAACTACTCCATATCTGTTTAACAGTTCAACTCTTCATACCTAGAGAAAATGAGTTGGGAGAAAGAAATAAGATTCCATAAACCTGAAGTCACTTTTTCTTTCTCAGCCCACCTCTAATACCACACTCATTTGCATTCGGAATCCATTTTCCCTCAAACTAACAATATCACAGCCTTTCGCTTTTGCAGTATTTTTTTTTCTGGAATTGTATGCGATCAGAGTTTGAATTGCAAACCAAAACAATTCACCCTCAGTAGCAAGTCTTCAGGCATGAGTTATTTATTCTGGATTAAGACTTACTGTAAAGACTTGGCAAGCCATATTCATCCAAGACAACTCATTTTGTTACACTGAGCTTGGGACAGTATGCGTAAAGTAAATGTTCAGTCAGAGGTATTACAGCTGATCAGAATTAAACTACTTTGCAATCAAAAGTCAAATTTGCATTTCTTTGAAATTTCAGGTTGCTCTTTTAACGGAATAGTTGCCCCTGTGAATCATTGTTTACATGCAACCTAATAATCTGTTCATAATTTGACTGCTAGCTTAATCTGAATGATATGGATCCGAATGGTGGTGTAGATCTTACAGAATCTATTAAAGGAATAGTTCAATCAAAAGAATTGTTGAAAAAAGTTGGGTTACACTTTACTTGAAGGGGTGTGCATAAGACTGACATCATGATATGACACCTTCATAATATGAAGGTTTTTTATGCATGTTTATGACAACTGTCATTAAGTGTCATTCGCTCAGTTATGTAATTTTTAATGCAAAGATGACACTATCCCTTTAAAATAATACATTTATTCAGGTGGATGAGAATCTGTAATTAAGCACAGTCAGTAATAGAGCTTAGTCAGGGTTAGTGTTGGGCGATATGCTGAATTTTCATATCGTCCTATCGTCAGCCTGTGAGATCGCCGATACACGATATTATCGTGCTAATTTATGTAATTATTTACTTAGTTTCATTGCGAGAAAGTGAACCAACTCCAGCATAAGGCTAAAAGTAGCCTAATGTTTTTAATATGACTGAATTTGTATTTAACATGATAACAA